GGGAAACACTGAATAAAAACGTGTTAAGAAACACCACAAGCAACTGATTATTTCTGACTTTCCATTTTTATTTTGCTGAATTATCACTGTAAAGTCTGTAAACTGTTTTTTTTTTCCTGCCGGCATTATGCAGACGTTGTTTAGAAGCTAAGACAGATTACAGCGTCACAGTGAGATGGACGTGAAGCCAGCAGATGATTCTCTGCAGCGAAATGCACCACGCAAGCCGGGCGAGAGTCAAGGAGAGGCGAGGTTGTCGTGGAGACGGCCCTAGTGGGGCTGCGCGTCAGATTGCACGCGGTGCCTTCTTCAGCCGCGAGGCATATGCCAGGATCGGCACTTCTGTGAACTCCGGCCGCATAAACACCCTGGCCATCGCATCGCCAGTGTGACATTACCTCTGCCACCCTGCAGGTGGCACTCTGGTCCCCAGTGTAGCATTTGCTAAACGTCCATTCCAACATTATGCAGTCTCCATGTGGGGAGCAAAGAAATGCCCGTCCTCCTGTCTATGAGGTGAAGGTTCCCACAGTAACGACTGTAACATGTCAGGTTTCAGGCTATATTGCATCACCATAGCACAAAACAAGCCTTTCCGGGAAGCGTGTGCAGAACATGGTGCCTGAAATATAACTGACAAAGCGATTGGTCAGCAGTCAGATGTAATTGGCCAAATGATTGGCTGGGAGGAGAAACAAAAAGCAGTGATTGCTTACTGAGTTACAACCTCCAGAGCTGACTCTGGTGAGAGCTTCAACCTCCATCTCCTTGGCTCTGGACAGAGTCAGACTAACCTTGAGCTACGGGCCTCTCTGCTCTCCCGAAACAGAAATTAATTGTCCAGTAAATGATGATACAAATTATAGAAAATAACCAAACTGTATAAACAGAACCCAGAAGAGGAAGAATGTCTGTTCGGAGATGCGCAAAGAGTAGAAAGCTTGAGATACATGTGAAGCAGGGGTCGGCCTTGTTCCTGTGCCTGCAAGGCATGCTGGGATTACTGCCAGACATGGTAACACTCGGGGGGACCCCATCCCATTTGTAGTCTGCCATCTTTAATAATTCTATGAATTCTAGTTCTAGGACCGCTGAACCCAAGGCATGATGGCGGCTGGCTGGCAGCAAACCCCAGGAAGCACAGGGTCTTCCCTGGACTGGACACTATAGACATCAAACACCATAGACACCATTTTACCTAATGGCTTGTCTTTAGTCCGGCACAGGAGGGTAGGAAAAATGCAGCCCATCTCTCTGCATTGTGAGATTCTCCACCACAGTTTCGCTATACTGCAAAATAAGCGATTAAATGGGAATTTTGTGGAAGTTTTGCAAAAGCCACAGAGAACATACAAAAAGTTTACTAACTCTAAATGCATAAAATACATGAACAGCACTGGCTCGGAGGACGCCAAGCGTGTTTACGGCAGATGCCTGTGCAATATCTCGCAGTGATGTCCCAGTCATTTTTCTGTCTCATTTTTGTGCTGTTTTAATGCCCAAAACTGTACAATGCCCCCAAGATGCTCACTTTGCTTCTGCACGGTTTTTCCAGATCATCGGGGGTCTGCGCCCCCAACCCCCGCCGTGTGCAACACGCTACCTGGAGGGAGCGAAGCCTCGGCACTCCCTCTGTGTCACTGTGCTTTAATGGTTATTATATGGGCTCAGTGGTTATTCATAGTAACACAAACCGTATCTCACAAATAAAAGCCGTCCCTGGAAATCAAACGGGATTTTTTTGGTATATCACTAGCCCACGCTGATCCGTGACTAAAGCTTCGGAAAAGCATCCAGACGAAGCCCACTTTGCCGTCCTCACGAATCCCGGCCTCCAAAGATGATACGCGTCCGTAGAAACAGCGCCGGGAACGAGCCTGGCCTCAGCCCGGATCTCTCCTGTGAGGGAGGGACGAGGAGACTCAGCCTAGCCAGGTGGGACACGCAGCCGGATCTGGATTAAGAGGGGGATCACACTGATCTCCTCCCATCTGCTCACTAGGGGGCGGTGTGGATTTTTTCTCCGAGGAGGGGATCACGGTTCAAATGCGTCACGGATGCTTCACCGCCATTTCTGACGAACGCGAGTACCCACCTCAGTCCTCCAGGTTTCTTTTGGCCCTTGCTCCATCTCTTTCAGTTTGGCCATGCCCCCATTTTGCATTCGCTGGGTGAGACTCCATCCCACACGCATCACCATCCACGGCACGGCCGATCAATGGGCCGCGGGAGTCGGCCGTGGGTTCACCGCGCTCAGGTATTCCATAACGTTTGCCCGGCCGTCCAGCGGATTCTCTGCAAATTGATTTTCCTTGAAGCTAGCCAGCGGGTTTTAGGGAAAGCGTAAATCTAACTGCTAACAATGAACCAAAGGCTTCTGGCTAACAGGCTGTACCTTCATACTTCATAATTTGAAGAATTTGATATATTTCTTATATAACATCAATACCTCTTGCTGCGATAAACATATTTTTATACGTGCTACGTGAGTCACAGTGCAAACATGTCGGTGGGGGATTTCTTTGCCGAGTTGGTCGTGACTGGGATCCACTGCCATGTGCGGGAGTCGATGCCCTGCCAGTGTACACGGCTCTTCTGGATCAGAAACGAGGAGCAGGGGGAACGAGAAGCAGGGAAAATGAGAAGCGATGGAAACAAGGAGGGGGAAACGAGGAGTGGGGAAAACGAGGAGGGGAAAATGAGGAGTGGGGGAAACAAGGAGGGGGAAACCGAGGAGTGGGGGAAATGAGGAGTGGGGGAAACGAGGAGTGGGGGAAACAAGGAGGGGGAAACCGAGGAGTGGGGGAAATGAGGAGCGGTGGAAACAAGGAGGGGAAAATGAGGAGTTGGGGAGACATGGAGCAGGGGAAACGAGGAGTGGGGTAACGGAGAAGCGGGGGAACCGTCTCCCTGGCCGTTTCCTTCACTGCTTTTGTCTGCCTCGGCGCCGCGAGCGGATGCAGACCGGGTGAATAAGGATGCTGCCGACGGCGTGACAGCTGGCGCCGGCCGCTGGGTTCTGTCGGGGCGCCGCAACTCGGGTCGCTAATTGGTACCGAGGGGCTCCCAGGTGGCTGGCAAGCGGGGCCGGCCCCTCCCCCTCCCTTCCTCACTGTGGATGACTCATAGATCGCATAGATAATCCATCACAGCACACAGGTTTCCCAGGCAAGCAATGGGTGGGGCCACAGGAGCACTGGCCACAGCCGACAGCTGATTGGCCCCTGGAGTGCCCAGCCCCTGCCACTCACTGATTCAAAACATCTCATTGGGTGATCATAAGGTCAGCTCCTCTGTATGAATTATGGCCCTTCTTATGCCCCCTACTTCAGAAGAATCCTAACATCAAACCCAGCGAACCAGAAGGTTCTGGAGTCCCCGTGCTCCTCACAGCCTAAAAGCTTGACGTTCTGCACTGCTTGAATACTCAGTCATTATTAATTGATGAGCAGCACCTCTGCTGTCCACAGATCTCCAACAATCAGTGACACACGCATGCACACACACACACACGCACACACACACACACACACACACACACACACACACACACACACACACACAGACACATTGTCCTCACACCGCAGCAGAGTGGCTGGTTTTCCATGTGAGCACCCCTGTGGAGTTTTACTGCAGATGCCTGACCCATGCTAAATACCATCAATCCTTCATGGATTTTCAAAAGGAAGGGACAGGGATCTGTGGGGGCCGTGAGGAGAACAGTGCAGGGGGGGGGGGGGGGGGGGGGAGGTGGCGATGCCCCAAACCGTCACACCCTACAGCCCATAAATGGAAGGGAATGACCGATAACAGCCTGGCCGGGTAGCCAGAGCCGGGGGCCAAAGCTGGGGGGCCAAAGGCACGCCGGGGGCCTTCAGCGCTCCCATTACGGGCTGTTGATGAGCCATCGAGGGAGACTGGGGAGGATCTGGGGGGGAAGCACAACCTGAAGCTTGGTAGGTGGTGTCGCCTGTGTGCGTGCAGGGCAGACGGGGGGGGGGGGGGGGCGAGCGCAGCCCCGCTCCGACCGTTAGCAGCACATCCCACCACTCATTAAAACTGGCATCGCGGCTGCAGCGCCGAGGCAGGCGCTGACAAAAATAATTGGGGGCAGTGGTGGCTTTCCCATGGAGAGAGAGCAGTCTGAGGGAGACAACAGGAGCCAATGGGAAAAGGGCAAGCAGTGAGGCTGAGTGATGATTGGACGACACTAATGACTGGAAAAGCTGCAGAGCTCTCAAGAGGCTAGGAGGAGGGTAAGGGTGCAGAGGGCAAACGCGAGGCTCGAGGAAGTACAGAGGCGCATTGTGATTAAAATCCGCCTCCAGGAGGGCGGATACACCTGGCTCAGCTAACGAGAAAGCAGAGAAAGGGACAGGGAGGGAAAAACAATGCAGTGGCAAGCCGGGGTGCAAAGACGTCGTCACCCCGGGTTACGCCAGGGACAGCCGCGGGGGGGGGGTACCCGCGGCCAATGGGGGCAGCCCTCGCTTCAGGACTAATTAATTATTCATCCAAATAATGCCATTAAGAGGAATTTGTTCTCAAAATCTAATTGCGAGTTAAGAGCTGGGGGTCAACGAGTCATTTAACAGCCGGATTTAGAGCATTTTCTTCCCTGAAGTGTTTTAATTGGCTGGATTACAGCAGAACGTTACTGTGACTCTTTTCCCACTGAATGCAGTTGTGAAGGATAACATGGATACCCTGCCCCACACTCTGTACCTCCTTCCTTATTGCCCCCTCCCTATTGGCTCCCTCCAATGCTGCCCCCTCCCTATTGGCCTCCGTCCTTGCTTCTCCTTCCCTATTGGCTCCCTCCCATGCTGCCCCCTCCCTATTGGCCTCCGTCCTTGCTTTTCCTTCCCTACTGGCACCTTCTGATGCTTCCCCCTCCCTATTGGCTCCCTCCCATGCCGCCCTTTTCCTATTGGCCTCCTCCCTCTCAGGTCCCATTCTTTTCCCCCTCCGCCCCACCCTTCCAGGTACCCAGCCCTTACTATGTGCAGCTCCAGGTAGTCTCCCAGTCCCGAGGCACTCTCCACCCGCACCAGGACGGCCTCCTTCAGCTGCGTGCTGAAGCCCAGCGCCAGCCGGTCTGCCCGCGTGCTCGGCCGGTCGTTGGGAGGCCAGGTGTAGGTGATGAGGGCTCCTCCTCGCCCGAAAATGTACGTGGTCCCAGCTGTGGAGAGCGAGAGACAGAGAGAGAGCGAGAGGGACAGACAGAGAGACAGAGAGAGAGAGACAGAGAGAGAGACAGTCAGAGAGCGAGAGAGAGACAGTCAGAGAGCAAGAGAGAGACAGACAGAGAGCGGGAGAGAGACAGACAGAGAGCGGGAGAGAGACAGACAGAGAGCGGGAGAGAGACAGAGTGCCAGGGAGAGAGAACCAGGGAGAGAGAGAGAGAGAGAAAAAGAAAGAGAGAGAGGGTTTATTAGTTCAATCCTCTGGACGCCACCGTTTTCATATCTTTCAGGTGGAAAAAAAAGGGCCGGCAGACAAGAGCTCTTTATGAAGCCTGTCTAATTCGGAGGAGAAGTGGCTGATCTGCAGCGGCCTGCCTGGGAAGGCTCCAGCACAGCACAGCACAGCACAGCACACGCGCCGTCTGTTTACTCGCTGACGGCTTAGCGGTCGGCGGCGGCAGAGCGTGACGCCACGCCGGACCGAGCGGCACGTCGCGAGCCTCTGTGAACGATTCACCCGTGAAACAGACGGGATTCGCGAGCAAATCTGCATGCGCTGGGTTGAAAATCTGGGCCTTAGATGATGTAATATTAAGTCATTTCATGACATCATTATTCGACAGGATAAGGGGAGCTAGCAGAGCATGGAGGTTGCCAAATCAACATTGAATACAGTGTATGCGTCCTGTGATACACACAGTATGTGCTGCATTTGATAAATTGCAATCCTGACGAATTGTTTTACTATTCCAGTGGCGCAGAGGTATTGTATAGCCTTAGGGGCAAAATAATCTCTTCACAGACTGGACGATTAAACAAATAAAGCAGCGCAACATTACAGTAAATAACAACATACAAGCCACTAGCTTACGTGTACTATTAGAGCATTTATGTAATTTATTTAAACTTTATTTTACCAGGCAAATTAACTGAAAACCAGTTCTCACTGCTTTACGTGATATTCGGGAGAAATAGCGGATAACGCATCGCAACTTCCTGGGATACAAACGTCATACAAACGTCACGTTCTTCAGCCAATAAGGGCAAAGTTGTGTCGTCACGGAGGCAGTTCCAGTTTGTTCAGCCGGCTGAGAGGTGCTGTACCATCTGTCTTAAGTCGTCTTGCTCTTGCAAGGTTTTTGTACCATGTGATATGGTGACGTGTGACGACGTTTTGCAGCGCCGGACAATAAAATCTAACCATATCATGAAAAACGAGGTTTAAAATTTTCTACATGAAGTGCAGGGAGACTATCAATTAATGGGTATGATTTAGTGTTGTTTTGTGCTATAGTATAGGCTGAAACCTGCGGTTATCATTAAAAACAAAAGGCGGTAAACGACAAACTTTAATTTGTGTACGCCAATGAATATTAACAGGAATGTTAAATCTGCATTTGCATAATTTCAAACTTATGATGGCTCAATAATGTTCCTATCTAGAAAAGGGGGGCCCTGCAGAGAAAGTTTGGGCACCACTGTACTATTCAAACATATAGGAGCTATATTATGTCAAAGAAAATGACTGAATCAAACAGGCTAGTATCTGCATTATATAAATTAATGCCAACATTGTTGAATATCCACTACAACACACTATAGAACATTAATTGGCTTCTTTTGAGTGAAATACAGGCAGGAATTATCAGCCGATGGACTGATTAGCACCTGCAGACATGCTGAGATTTTTGCAAGAGTTACAGTGTGACTATAACCGGGGATACGTTTCACACACTGAGTCCATCGCACAAGCAGAGTTACAGTGTGACTATAACCGGGGATACGTTTCACACACTGAGTCCATCGCACAAGCAGAGTTACAGTGTGACTATAACCGGGGATACGTTTCACACACTGAGTCCATCGCAGAAGCAGAGTTACAGTGTGACTATAACCGGGGATACGTTTCAGACGCACAAGCAGAGTATGAAACTCTTACAGCGATTGGATTACTTGCCGAGACCTAGACTGTTTTCCTATTCCAGGTACAATGGGCGGGTGGAGATGGGGTGCCAATGACCGGAAGGTTGCTGGTTCAAATCCCAGGGTTGGCAGAGTGATTTCACCACTGGGCCCTTGAGCGAGGCGTGTAACCCCTCATTGCCTCAGGGACTAGCTGACCCAAAAAAACTAATATTGATTTGGACAGAATCAGCCTTTAAATAAATGCTAAGTGATAAAGCTGAAGTATGATTGTAAACAAACGTGTCAGGTTCCATTCAGGCTAGAGAAAACAGCCGGCCAGTCAGGGAACAAACAGTCCAAGCTCTGTGATGCAGCGAGTCCCGCACTTCATCCGGTTACAGCACAAGGTCTCCAGTATTTCACACCATCTCTGGACCGGGCCACCCACCCAGGTGTTCTGCGGCACCAAAGCCCGCGACTTGATGGGCGTGTAATTAGATTAAGCGGCGAGTTCTTCCCCGGGTGATGCCGCACTGAACACCTGCTCCCAAACCTGTTAACCTGTTGCCGGTGTGGCACGTGCCAAAGCGGAGTGCCACCTGTTAGCGGCTGCCGGGGCGCCGCGGGGCGCTGGATGGGACACAGGGCCATGCCGGAGCGGGGCATGGCGGCACGGCATGGGGGTGCTGGACGGGCTGCAGGGCGCGGCGCGGGGTGACCATGGAATCGGCCAGGGGGCAGGTTTACAGTACGGCTGCTTCGGTATATAATTACCAAAAAAAAAATCAAACAAGTGACAGAAACAAGGACGGGTCTGGAGGAGCACTTTGTCAACTATTAATTCTGTCAAACGGGCTTTTTGTCGTGAACCGGGGGTGGGGGGGCATTACATGACCCCCTCAAGAAAAACTTGCACAAGTGGGATGGAAGTTTTTTATTAAGGAAAAATAAAGTATATTGTGTATGGATATTAGCAGGCAGAAGACGTGAGATGCTAACCCAGCCAACTGCCACAAATCAGCAGAAGAGATCAATAATTTACTGTTATTCTGCATTAAAAAAATCAATGGCAACTTTCACCAAATTGGGTGTTTATTTTGATAATGCAGCCTATTTCACAAGGAATAATGATCATTTATAATGGAGCATTAAGCGTAGTTTAATATGTAGTTATGTAGTATATAATCAGGTCATTTTCTGAAGTGTCAAAAAAGAAACGAAAGTTTTTAAGAAGTTATTTCTTGAAATATTTATATTTTTAACTCAGTTTTTGCAAAGTAATGAACAATCGATCCAAAGAAAACACACTTTGTCACAGACGTATCCTATTTCTGGTTAACACAAATTTCCCCTTTATATTCTATTGTATTTGCATTAAGGCTGAGCGGCTGAGGGAAATGCACACATGGCCAGAAAGGTACGGCCCTCCTCGCTCCAGCAGCCGCGCCGGTGGCTACGCACCGGAAATGCAGAGCAAAAGCAGAAACGCTGCCGGGGAAATTACCGAGGGTGCGACTAGAGAAGTTCGTCCAAAGGGTGAACTTCATAGCCAAGACGCAGATCACGATACGAAAAGCGACAAGGGCCAGCTCTACCTTTCCATAAGCCTTACACAAGGGTTTACTTTGCAGGCCTCCTTAGAAAGAAAAGTAATGATTATTTCAAGGACCCAAGACAACTGCCTATATCTAATAGGTGGCCATGGCTTTGCCTGCACATAAACATTTTAATTTGATGCATATAGTTTTACTTTTTAAATTATTTTTATTTTGTGTAATTATACATATGTATATATTATACACACACACACGCACACACATACACACACAGTCCTGATCGGGCCCTAGGCCTTGATTGCCCGTGCCTCAATCTGACCCTGAGATAAACCACTCAAATGTATCCTTTATAATGACATATTACCTTTAAAGGTGTAAAGGTAGGATTTGCAGATATCTGAAAATGGCAGCCTCTCTTGCCGTTGTTCACCTTTGAATAATATTCTACATGGCATCAAAAAACAGACGCAGTCTCAAAGCAGCTTTCCGTAAAAAATGTATCTGTATTTTTTTAGAACCTTGATCGCTCTCGACTTTTCATTGTTCATTAGATATTTTGAGGTTTATTTGTGTTGAAAATAGAACCACATTCCTAATCAGTGTTACTGGGCTGTTAACAGACTAAGTGTAATTCCAGCCTGTATCTGTGTCACTTTAGGTCCCGCTGCCCACAACTGTGCACGGACACATAAACTGAGGATCACAGATACCGATCCGACAGCGAGCACAAAACAGAGGTTAAAAACTAATTAAAAAAAACAGAATATTCCAGTAATATTCTGAGGAGCGGGGAGAATCGAATGAGTGGGCAGACGAAGCGGGAACGTCGAAAAGAGACGGAGATCCAGCCACTTAAAAACACATTAAACAGCGTTTAGTAAAAAAGTTTATAAAGCTCGTAGGAGTGTTTATGAAGGCGCTCACAGGGCATCACAGGAACAGATACTTACACCTAATAAATAATCTGAGTCAGTTGTAAAAATAGTTATAAAAATATTAAATGTAAAATGCACACTTTTAAAACAGATAGAATTGCTTGAGAATTGCTAACCACATCACCCAAGAGATCAGTGGACTGGAAAGTTCAGGTTCAGAAAGCATAAATCCGGGCCAAGATTTTGTTTCAACCACCCAGCTGCGTGCTCTGTGACTGTGGCTTTTTATGCTCAACTGTTTGGTTGAAACAAAATCCTGGTCCAGATTTGTACTTCTAGAACCTGAACTTTCCACCTCTGCAGATCAGACAGCAAACCTGGGACAGGTACCCGGCCTTTGCACTCCGCAGCCATTCGGGCCGAAAAGCTGCACGGTTCTGCTCCGGAGCGACTCTGGATAGAGTCCGGCACGTTCCATAACTCTCAATACGGCTGTTAGCGGACACAGAAGGACAGACAATCTCAGACGGTAAGGAGCAGTGGAGAGGGGTTGCCAGGCACCTTGACATTAAATAAACCTGCGATCGAGGGGAGGCTGAGCCCATCACGGGATTACTCCGGGATTACTCCGGGATTACTCCGTACGGCGCGGCCATGGAG